GAGCTTTAGCTCCACAAATCCACCATGGCGACCTCATCCAGGAGGATCTCAGTAATCGAGGAGGTGAGGCAAGGACTCGCACTTCTAATAGGGAGAAAAACGTGCTCACCCAAGCACTTTTCGAAACCAAGGAGCACCTCTGTCGCACTAGAGGAATCGGTGTTATTCCTTGAAACTAGCATTCCCGAAGAATCTACGCACTTCACGGAGCCACTCGAGGGTAGAGCGGAGCAGGAGGCCAGTGTTTGAGGCGACTAAAAGAGATGGAAGACAGAATGGGCGTATGGATTGAGGCATTTGTTGAAGCACGAGTCCAACAAATTTTGTTGTCCAAGGGTCGGAGTACCACAAAAACCCTACTCCACTCGCTTTAGCCCACAATTGAGGGGTCGCGGCGGACCCGCGGATCGACCACCTTTCGACGAAGAAGATCTTGATGTGCCTCATCCGGTGGGCGGCATCAACGAACGATCAATGTCAAGTTGTACATCCGTCGAGAATGGACAAAAGGGCAAGGTGGCGCTCGGCTAGGCACGGCTTGTAGGAGACGGGACCATTAATGGCCGCCCAATTCCACAGGGGTACGCTCGCGTCACCATTGACAGAATACTTGATAAGAAGTATAACAAGATACACATTGAGTACAACGCAACGGAAGATAGGCCAAAACTTGGTCATAACAAGGGCTCTCAAGTGGCACAGGCGCAAGCGCTTAATGAAGCTTGACCACCAATTGTCCTCCTCACGATGATGAGGACGATTGCGAGTCTTTGCCCACCTGCGATGATCACTCACCATCTCCCAACAGAGATCACTCCCCTCCTCATCCCTTGCCATCACCCCCGAGAAGACAGAGGTCTCCTTTTATTCCTCCTCATCCGACTACATCTTCATCAGGTCTCAAAAAGAGAAGACTCCTCCATCTTCATCACCTCGGAAAACATAATTCTCGTCGTCATCATCCTCCTCCTCCACCTCAGCCCAAAACAAGATCAAAGGCATCCTCGTGAGTCGTGAAAAGGTCCTTGGATTCTTGGTCGCTAATGCTCCCAAAGTGGACCAACAAAAAACAAAAAAGGTCGATTCGATGGCGACATTACAAACTTGATGAAAGAAAAATTTACAACACATCATCTCGAAGGAAGATTGTGTTAGTTTCTTCAATCTCTGTGCCTCAACGCCTTAGTGTTTGTTGAAGTTCAATTGAAAGGCAAACACGGAATAAGTATGCTATAATAAGAGGCGAAGAAATACACAATGAAGATTTAAGAAAGATACATAAGTACGTCAAGAAGACAACCCCGAATTAACCATGGAAGAGGCCACGAACATCTGTTATGATGTACAAGGGACGGGAACACCGGTAATGAAGTATGAAAGGGGCAATCTTTTGGTTCTCGATGATGAGTATAAAAATTTGACAACATATATCGCCATTTGCATGAATATTACATGGCTCAAACAACAGACAGAGGGACTTTGGTTTTGAGGTTATTATTAGTTCGCCACATGTTTTCATTATCCCGAAGAAGAGAAGTTCGATGTCGAGTGGGAGTGCTTGTTCTAGCTATACCAGAAACGCTCTCTCGATTCACAAATGTTGACGCTGTGGACTATGTAAGTACCCTACACGCACGATATTATAATTAACTACTCTCTCAAGACATAAATTGTTAACTTTTGAGCACTTCCCATGATTTTATGTAGGTGTATAGCAAAATTTTGCATACTAAAAAGCAAATGGTATAACATAGGCTTCTTGGACCTCGGGCAAGTCAGTGAGAAGACATGTTTAGGCCTCCATGGATGTGACGTGGAAGACCTGAAAGAGAGATTGATTGTTGTTTTCGATGAATTCAAGATGAAGAACAAAACCCACATACTTCTAGCCTATAGCTGTGAATATGTGTTCTCGGCTTTTAATTTTATGCTTCTTTTTTCGTTAAGATTATTCAATAATTAGGATTCTGTGATTGCAGCAACCATTTCGTCTTCATTTGTGTCAATCTTGCTAAAAATCTGATCGAGATGTGGGACTCAAAGAAAAAAGCCATTTTATCATCCGGATCCACCGGTGGCGCGTGTTGAATTAGTGTTTATCCTAATAACATATTATTTTCTAATCACACATACCGCTTTCTAATGTTTCTCCTTTTAATGTTGCATAGTGTTCAAAAAGATATATATCGGTGGGACGCAGGGTCCTATTCAAGGTTGTCGAAATGGAGGGAAGTATCTAAAACAATTTTAAGGAAACAATAAATGCGGGGTTTTATGTAATGTGGGCAATGCTTCTCTACATCGGCGAGAAATTGAAAGAAGCAGATAAGTTGGTGTGTATAATCTCCATTTCATTTATTTCTGTTAATAATTCAACAAAATGATTTACTGATTCATCTTTGGATATCATCTTTTTTGAACGATGATGCTAGAAATATAACCACGAAAGGCTGTTAGACATGAAGATCGTCGCACTGCAATTGGAGCTGGCAAAATTCATCTTAGCCGAGGTATTGGAAAAGATGGAGTATTTTCCATTGCACGATCAAGTGAAGTTCAAGGACCAAGATGGCCCAGAAGCAGTTCACTAGATTATTGTAAGAAGTCCGAGAAGCATGCTTCATCTTATCGAATAATTTCTTTTTTTTTATTTTGAGGATCGAGATATTGATAAGATATTTGAACTATGAATTAGTAACATTTGTAATGTTTAATATTGATGGACATGTGGTCTCGTATAGCGTATATAAAGCGAAACCCGATTCCACGAAAAAATATAAATTAAAATAAATTATAAAACAATAAAATATGAACGGGCCATCTAGACCGGCAGTGATGGCCAAGATGGCACTGCCAGCTTGAGCCACAAACCAAGAAGCGTTGGCCTAGCCATCGGCGCCGGTCTTATCCCAAACCGGCAAAGATCTTTGGTTACGACAACACTGCCAGCTAAAGACATAAACCAATAGTGATGTTCGAGATTACACTGCCGGATGGTCTCATGAACCGGCAGTGTTGGTGGAACTGAACTCTGCCAGGTTATGTAAAAGACCAACAGTGAAGTTGCAGAACACTACGGGTTTGTAGGAACCGACAGTGATAGCTAACTCTCATCACTACCGGTTTGGTTGTGCCGGTTCAAAATCCGACAGTGATTGGGGTGTTTTGAACCGGCAATATTGTCCTGATCTGGGGTAGTGCTGGTTCAGCAGGAGGCTTTCAAGTACAGGTAGGATGGCCAAGAAATTCCATATACATGGGCACATGGCACGGCGGGGCCTGGAGAAACCAAGCGCGTGGCGGCGACGGTTCTATGCACGGATGACGATGACGAATGCGTCGAACAGCGTGTGGATGCCAACCGCGTTCGTGATGAAGCCGGAGGCGAGCACGATGCCCAGAGTTGTGCAGACGAACGACTCTTCACGGGCTCCGGTGACATGCGTGCCATGTACATGAGCACCGGCCACACAAGGAAGGTGGCCGTGAGGAGGCCGCGACGAAACGTGCCACCGCGAGTAGGTCCGGAGGTCGCGCAGCGATGTAGGGTCGTCGCCGGCCGCCCCGGTGCCGACTTCACCCACGCCATTAGCCGGAGTCCAAGATCTAGTGCCGATTGCTCCAAGGGGATGCCACCTGTCCACGCGACGCCGCGGCGGGCCCTCCTCCGCTCGGGTTCGAGGACTCTGCGGGGCTTTCAGCGCAGCAGCTTCTTGGCCGCGCCGCCACGCCGACCGTGCTCTGCGGCTCCCACGTCCGCCATCCGCCGCGTGCCGCTTGACCCGTGAGCGTCGTTGCCGTCACCACCGTTGACTCTTGCAGAAGCGGCGCCATGCGTGCAGTGGAGCGCGGCGGATTGGACCCGCGCCATCACCACAGCAGCCATGACCGCACGCGCATGACCACGAGCGCCTCCTCATCGTCTCCCGCACCCTCGTACTCCACCTCGCCATCGCCGTAGATGGACATGGCCCATGCTGGGGGAGTAGGAAGAGAGAGGGGGGGCACGAGGGACTCACATCCAAGCTGGACTGAGGTGCTGACGTGCCACGCAAGCAAAAGTGACAAATGTATATCAATTTTCTCTCTGTGCTGCTAAAGTCGTATCGCCAATCCTAAGAATGCTATATCATGAGTTGTCATCCGTTATAAGCCAACATATCAGGTGCAAACCAATTAACCTGTGCAAACTTGGAAACTACCAATCAAGACCACTAGATGCTGATCCAATGGATGGGGCGAGGGGGCTTAAGCGCAAAAAAAAAAGGTCGGCAGGTGGGAGTCTTAAGCGAAAAAAAATCCCACCTCTCACCATATCCATTGGATCAGCATCTAATGGTCCTGATCGGTAGTTTTCAAGTTTACACATACTGGTTAGTTTGCACCTGATACGTTGTAATATTATAATGGTAAAAAGTTAAATATCCCACTGAGCGAAAGACTAGCCGGACAGCAACAGAAACGGAACTTAGGGCCGTACTGCTCAGCTTCACCAGGGAAACGGTGTTTTTTTTTCCGGTTCCGTAATCCAGCTTCACCAGTGAAGTTAAAGTTATTTTCAAAAAACGTTTGGTAAAACAGCTTATTAAGGAAGATAGCAGAAAGAGAGGTAGAAGAAACTAGTATTTTCACCTTTACCCAGCTTGGAAAACTGTGCATGTGAGAGGAAGCTAAAAAAAATAGCTTTTAGGGAGAAGCTATTTCATACCTGTTTGGTAGGAAAAGATGAAAAATTGCTTTGTAAAGTTAGAACAAAAGTCCTACCAAACAGGCCCTTGCCCATCCCGCAGCAGCTCCCTGTGCGTGAGACACGAAAAGTTCGTTCCATCAGGAATGGTGAAAGAAAAACCTCGTAGCTTTTGTTACTCCTACTCTTGTCTACCACTTATTCTACAGTCTATGGCAAAACTCCTTCAAGCCTCCTATAAATGCAACACAACCACAACCATAAGAAGTCACAATTCACAACACAACTCGTCCGCACATTTAGCATATGGTGTATGGCTCCTCCAGGAACCCTGAGTTCGTCAGTGCTCCTGGCCACTGTCCTGTCCGTCATATTTAGCTTCCCAATTCCTGCCTTACCACTTGATACAACACCACCCAATAATGATCTCCACACCCTGCTCTGTCTCAAGCTCCATCTTTCTGATCCTGCTGGGTTTCTAACCTCATGGAAGAAAGATTCCCACAAAATTTGCACTTGGGCAGGTGTTAGTTGCAGCAAGAGCCAGCGTGTTGTCGTGCTCAACCTCGACTCTTTCGAGCTCCATGGCCAAATACCTGCTTGTATTGCCAATCTCACTTTCCTTGAAAGAATCCACTTCCCAAATAACCACCTTAGTGGCCCAATTCCTCATGAGCTTGGCCAGCTAAAATGGCTGCAGTACCTTAACCTCAGCTCGAACTATCTCAGTGATGTGATCCCGGACACACTGCCTTCCTGTTCTCGCCTTCGGGTCGTCGATCTTGGGAGAAATTCTCTCCAAGGTGAGATTTATCCGAACCTGAGCCAATGTTTAAATCTTGAGAAGCTCATCTTGCAGCAAAACGGCCTCAATGGAGTTATCCCTGAAGAGCTTGGGATGCTAAAAAATCTCTCAGTTTTGCATCTGGCTGGAAATAATCTGGCTGGAAACATTCCTCTTTCACTTGGATGCAAATCTCCTCTTAGAGATCTTGTTCTTGCAAACAATAGCCTCACTGGACCAATCCCGTCTTGCATAGCTAATAGTTCATCACTTCAACAGCTGGACTTAACACACAATCATATCAGTGGAGAGATACCACATACTCTGCTAAATAGCAGATCACTTAGAACAATAGGCCTTGGGTTGAACAGCTTAGTGGGATCAATACCTGCTGTCTCGCACACTGAGTCTCCATTGGAGATTCTCATTTTCACATTCAATGGTCTTTCAGGTGCCATACCTTCTTCACTAGGGAACCTATCTTCCCTTGTCAGGCTCTTACTTGCATACAACAATCTTGAAGGTAGCATCCCAGCCAGCATAGGTAAAATACCAAACCTGAAAGCATTGGACCTGACTTACAACTTCTTGTCAGGAACCATCCCAGCCTCCATTTACAATATGTCAGCTCTGACATACCTTGGCATTGCCACGAACACCTTGGTGGGGGAGATTCCACATGACATTGGGTACACCCTCCCAAGCATAAAGAAATTGATCTTTGAAGGGAACCAATTCCATGGTAAAATCCCTGCTTCGCTAGCGAATGCGACCAACCTTACGGTGATTGATCTTCAATACAATTTGTTCTATGGAACTGTTCCTTTCTTGGGCTCGCTTCCCAACTTGGTGGAGCTAAGTCTAGGCACGAACCAGCTTGAAGCTGGAGATTGGTCTTTCCTGTCCTCAGTAGCCAATTGCACACGGCTGGTCACATTAGATTTATCAGACAACAAAATCCAAGGAACACTGCCAAATTCCATTGGTGGCCTTCCAAACAGCTTGCAATTTTTGCTGTTGTCAGCAAATGATATATCTGGGACAATACCTCCAGAGATAGGGTACCTCACAAACCTTGTCGTTCTTCACATGGAGAGCAATCGGTTCACCGGAAGCATCCCAGATGCAGTCGGAAATCTTTCGAGTTTATTTCGACTAAGCTTATCACAGAACAAGCTTTCTGGACGAATTCCACTCTCGGTCAGTAACCTGAGTCAACTAAGTGAGCTCTATTTACAGGACAATGATTTCAGTGGTCCGATCCCAGGTGCTTTTGGCGACTGCAAAAATTTGAGAATGTTGAACATCTCTTGCAACAACCTTGATGGTGGCATCCCAAAGCAGCTGCTGACTCTTTCATCCCTTTCTGATGGCTTGGATTTGTCCCACAACCAACTCTCTGGACAAATACCACCTGAGGTTGGTGAGCAGATCAATCTCGGTCTGCTCAATGTTTCCAATAACCAGTTGTCTGGACAGATTCCCTCCACCCTAGGACAGTGTGTCCACCTGGAGTCCCTCCACATGGAAGGGAACCTTCTGGAAGGAAAAATCCCAAATTCATTCGCCGAATTGAGAGGAATCATCGAGCTAGACCTGTCCAGAAATAACCTTTCTGGAGCAATACCTGAACTGTTTGAGTTCTTTGGCTCCTTGCTCCTCCTCAATTTGTCGTTCAACAGCCTCCAAGGTCCAGTACCCACTGGTGGGATCTTTCGCAATAAAAGTGCGGTATACATTCAGGGGAACAAGAACTTATGTGGGAGCACCCCATTGCTAGCATTGCCACTTTGTGATGCAATGGCCTCCAGAAAAAACCATGGTTTTAAAATTCTAAAGGTGCTAGGATTTAGTGCTCTTTCTTTGCTCCTGCTAGCATGCGCAGTGGCCATCTATTTGAAGAGGAAGAAAGTCAGACAGGCAGCTCATTCATCCTGCAGGGAATTGAAAAGGTTATCATATGCTGATTTAGCCAAAGCAACGAATAATTTCTCCTCAAATAACTTGATTGGTTCAGGAAATTCTGGATCAGTTTACAAAGGTAGATTTGAGTTTGAAGAACATACAGTTGCTATCAAGGTTTTCAAAGTCAATCAACTTGGCGTGCCAAAGAGCTTCCTTGCTGAGTGTGAGGCACTGAGGAACACTCGTCATCGTAATCTTGTAAGGGTGATTACTGCATGCTCAACATTTGATCCATCAGGACATCAGTTCAAAGCTCTTATTCTTGAATATATGCCTAATGGCAGCCTAGAGAGCTGGCTCTATCCTGATTGGAACAAGTATGGATTGGAAAGATCATTAAGTTTTGGCTCCAGAATAACAATAGTGATGGACATAGCTTCTGCTTTGGATTATCTGCATAACCATTGCATGCCTCCTGTAGTCCACTGTGATCTGAAGCCCAGCAATGTCCTTCTTGATGATGACATGGGTGCACATCTTGCTGACTTCGGGTTAGCTAAATTTCTTCAAAGTTCGAGTCATTCATGCCATCAAAGTTCTACAAGCTTACTGGGACCAAGAGGATCAATTGGGTACATTGCACCAGGTGAAAACTTTTTCCCTCAAAACTGGACATTGTAAATATCACAACCGTTTTTTTTTTTCTGTTTTTAATTATTCATGTTTTATGTTTCCACTATATTACAACGTTACTTTATGTTTTTCCAATATTAAGAGATAAAATTGTTTGATCACATACACACATATTACAGAGTATGGCTGCGGCAACAAACTCTCAACAGAAGGTGATGTCTATAGCTATGGAATTATCATCTTAGAGTTGCTCACCGGAAGGCGTCCAACAGATGAGATGTTTACTGATGGTGTGAACCTTCACAGATTTGTGGAAAATGCGTTTCCTCAAAAGATTGGTGATGTTCTAGATCCTTGTATCGTTCCATGTTTTGCCGAGGGTGATGTGGACAACAATTTGGACCACGGAAATAATGCAACAGCTGCCGTGGAAAGCCACTGCATCATGCCTCTTGTTAAACTCGGTCTCTCATGCTCTATGGAGACCCCGAAAGATCGACCAACAATGCAGGATGTCTACGCTGAAGTCATCACAATCAAAGAAGCATTTGCAGTGCTACATGGCTGAGTAAAAAGGCTGTTGTTTTTGTTGTTCACATACTAGTAGAGCATGATGGCCTTTGCCTAATTTCTTTTGAATGGCCTTTTACTTTAAGAATAATTTGCCCGTGGGTCAACTCCCATTTTCGCTAGTGTTTTGTGTTTGTTATGTATCAGAGCTAGTAAACATGTCATGAAACAAAGTTCGCCTTACTAGGAACTACGATTAGCTTCGTTACCTTGTCTAATTGATGCAGGTTCCATGTCGGTAGTGTACTACGTACTTTGACACTCTATTGAGCATAACAATATACATATTAGTCAGAATCTAGGCTCAAGATTGATTGTCATTAGGCTGTCAGGCTTTTCTCTTTTTTTTTTGGTTTAGGCTGTGTGCTTTTTGTAGAGGCCAGAATGGGTTCTAGATTATTGTATCAACTCGATGTGATCATCTTGAGTTAATAAAATCCTTCTTTATGCAAAAACATCTGACTTGCGGTGCCAAATTATTTGTTAGCCATCGATTAGAAGAAAAGCGTGCTCAGGATAACAATAGATCAACCGAGGAGGGGTGATGAAACTGCAGCCGAGGCACCTGGGCATGGAGGGGATCCGCTCCTGCCTCCTTGGATAGAGAACAACTATAAATCACGCTCAGCTGCAGCCAATGTTGCACTATAGTTGAGTATACATATACATAGAGATGACCCAAGACGGATGAACGGGAGAGGAAGTGTTGCAGATGTGAAGGGAGGCAAAGAAATCTTTGTCATTGATTACTCCGACCATCAAAAGTTTCTAGAAGTTGTACTGTTGTAGCACCATTAGACGAATGGGAAAATGAGTGGACACATCAAGCAGTTAGCAGAGGCCTGCAGTCGTGGTTTTTATTGGGCTCGTGTGAGTGTGATTGTTTGGTTTGTTTCTTCTGCTTGTTCAATGCTTCTCTGATGCAGTGACATGCGGTTTTATACTGGAGATGAATGAGTGGAAGTGGACTGAGGTTAATGACTTCTCGATCGTTTATACAACTTCCAAAAAAATTCTGGGGTGGTTATTTCAAGTGAAGCAATGGTGAGGATCTATCTTTGACCAATGGCAAATCAAGGAAAAGTACTTTTTTTTTTGGGGTCAACAAACTACAGTGCTAGACCAATATAAGTACATTATGCCTCGTACTAGAGTACTAGATCAACACAATAGTTTGTTTTTCGTGTCACTAACGTTACTTCTTTTTCATTCCCTTTTTTGATGAACCAGACCTAACATCAGTTATAATATACTTAGGATGAAGTGTCTGCGAACAGTTAATCTCTCTTCTGAAAATAAATTTTAGTGTGCTATAAATTATCCTTGATTCTAGCCGATAGTTTTGTGTCGTATAATCATCTTAAGTTTCAAAACTTCTTGTACTAAAGGGTCCATTTCATCATGTTAAGAGATAAAATAACAAAAACTTCAACATTTGCAGAGCACTGTCATGTTCTTCCATTTTGAAGAACTATTTGACACAAGCTTATATACAAATTAATGTAATAATGTAAGATACTTACAAGTCAGAACTCAAGAGATGACAATGCAATGGCTACAGCCTACTCCTCTCTTGTGTGGGAATTACATATTAACAACCTTAATCTGCAAGACAAAGAGGATCGTGCAGTATTGTTAGTAACAGAATTCTGTAAAGTATCACCTGAGAGTAAAAAAATTACAAAATAATATGTATTATAGTGTACTAGTGTCTAATTTGTTTAACTAGCAAATGAGCATTCCCACTTTGCAGAATATACGGCGCATTGTCAAGCAACATCTAGCGCCTACAATGTGCGAATTAGTTGAAATATAAGCCTGAGACTCTAGTGAGTAAGAACAGGAAAATTACAGGGCAGGCATACAGACTTACAGAGTTCACGAATCAAGACTGTTGGGCACTTCAGCATGACGGCATTAGGTGTTGCCTGTTGTTGCTGGCCTGCCGCACAGGCGCACCGCGCGCACCACAGTCCGCCAGTCCAGCTGCTGTAGTGCCATCCACATCCGCTGTCCACGCGACCAGCCGCCGCGCGGCCGCGGAGCTCTGGCACCCCCTGGCCGCTGGAATGGATACTGGATGGATGGATTCGCCTTGATCTGTGCTCGTCTCGCTGATTAACGACCCGTCGTGGCTGCAGCCGCCGCGAGGCCGTTGCGCGCTGGCGCACGCACGCCCTCAGCCCTCTGCCTCCATCCCCACCCCGGCTTGCCGGCTTGCGTAGGTGTTTTTTTTATTATTATTTTTATTTATTTATTTAAGAAACTCCGGCTTGCGTAGTTGCGTTCTTGCGGAGGGCAACGGCCGAATCGGGGGACGCAAGATGGACTGGGATGTGGGCGGGAGTCTGGGCCTTCTTGGGCCGAAATAGAGGTCACAGGCCTTAGGCGGGGTGGGGATAAGGGAAAGAGACCTCGTTGGCCCAATATAACATTCTTGTCCTTCTCTCTTTTTCCATTTCCTTCTCCCTAGAAAAATATTTAATTTGGGATGTGAATAAGAAATATAAATAAATAATTTTATTTATTTCAAATATCTTGGGAATTTTGTTCATGGAAAATTTTATTTATTTCATAAATAAAATGAATTAACCATAGGCTATATACTTTTTTCTTTGATGTATTTATTTGTGCCATTGCATAGTGTTTATTATGTGCTTAGTTCAATTTTATTTATAAATTGTCTGCGTTTGGGAAAAAAAAACGTATACGTACAATTCAGAGTTATATAGCTTCTTGTTAAAGGAAAGAGATTTCTTTTTAAATCTTTTCCTACGGTCTCTCTTGCCTGTTTTTCTTTACTGCTGCAGTACGCTTTTAAGTAGTCTGCTGGCAAGAAGTTGAGGCCCTTTGGATGGTATGAAAAATTTCTATTTTCAGCGTTTTTCTATAAAAATGAACCGATTCTTATAAAATTCCTATACAATTCGTATGAAATTTCTGCGTTCCAAAAAGAACCTGAATTTGTATCAAACTCAGATCCCCACTATACACATGCGCACGCCGGGTCGTGTCGCCCGGACTATAATTCTACAAAAAAACATATGATAATGATTTCACACGGGCGTCCATGTGGACGGACGCGTCTCCTCCACTCGCTATCGCGTCTTCGCTCCCTCTCGTCCGCACCCTGTCGAAAAATAAAATTCTCCATCGTGCCCTCTCTCGCTCCTGCCCACCTCCACCATGCTGCCCGGTCACGCGTGGCCGCCTCCACCACGCTGCCTGCTGGCCACGGTCGCACTCCACCACGCTGCCTCCTCACCGCGGCCGGCCCGCTCACTGTGGCCGCCTCCACCGAACCAGTAAGCCTCCACAATGGATGCTCCAGCAAGTAGGCGAGGGGGTGAGCTTCGTGTGAAGCCGTCCCATCGAGCTCCATGCGTCGTCGTCGACCTCCGTGCCGGCGTCGAGCTCCACATCGACAAGCCTCCATTCGTCCAAGCACAAGATGACATTGCATTGAAAGCCCATGTTACAAGCATATGTTTTATGTGTTTCAGATGTTTCATCTGGATGTTTCAAAAGTAGATCGGGATGGTGCACATGTTGCAATGGCTATGCACGTATGTTTCAAGTGTATGTTCCGAATGTTTCATTTATTTTTCTAGACGTATGTTTGCAAGTGTTTCATTTGGATGTTGTATATGTTTTTGCAAGTGTTTCAGATGTATGTTCCAAGTGTTTCAGTTGTTTCCGTACGTATGTTGCAAGTGTCTTCATCTGGATGTTTCAAAAGTAGATCTAGTGTTGCAGCAAGTGTTTCATATGCATGTTTCAAGTGTTTATCTGCCTTCAGACGTATGTTGCCAGTGTTGTATTTGGATGTTTCAAAAGTAGATCGGGTGTTGCATCTCCCTCCTCGTTTTTCTATGGCCTCGCATCCGTTTATCTTCCTCCTCCGGTGTCGGCTGGGCATCTGGCGCCTCCTCCCTCTTTTTCTCGATGCTGGTGACGCTCAGGCCGACGTGGTCCCCGCGTGGGCACGTGAAACGGCACGGGAAACGACTGCAGGCGTGGGCGGTTGGGCGCTAGTCGTTCCGAGAAACATAAGCTAGCTATTGCACCTTGCATTGTTTTCGTCCGGCATCAAACTCACTACGCACATGGCACATGTGACCTAGCTTGTTCACACGCCGGCGCTCTGTGCTACGCCATCGCTTATGAACTACGTCCGCCTGTTTCAGATCGATCATCTCTGGCCCATGCCTCGAAGGCCGGAGATCGTTGTTTGCCATCGCCGAGGCCCGAACTCTACCTCCCACCGATCTACATATGGGCAGGCTCGGTAAACAAAGGAGAGTCTCGAAAATCAATTTTATAGTAATGTTTAGTCAAACTCAAAATAGTTTGATTTAAGGTCAAACTAAAACATCAAGTTTTCCTGAACTTAGTACATTCCGCTTCTCAATCTAGGCCTATGATTCAGTATGGGCGTGATTGATTGTTACTGGGATGGCGAGCGGATAGATTGATCGTGATGCTCGCTTGGTTGCAACTTAGTCTAGGATCTTGGATGACAACCATCGTGTTTAGTTTCATGCACATCAGAGTTTTGAGTGGCGAGCATGATGCTCCATGCATGCATCAAGGGTCGGTCCAGGCTCGTGTGGAAGCAGAGTTAAACCGCAAGCATTTTGCTATGTTTGGTTGCAACTTAGTCTAGGATACTGGATGACAACCATCGTGTTTAGTCTTAATCTTGTTTATTTTCATAATAATTGTAGCGTGTGAGTGCAACATGCTTTTGACATTTCCTTGAAAACATACTGGACGAAGTTAAGTCTAACATTAGGAGTTACGTGGCAAAGATTGTTGAATCTTAGCGTTGTATATCCAATGGGGTCATCCATGATCTTTCCATGCGACCATGTCAAATGATAGTATCATCAATAAAAGATATACATGTAGTCACCAAGGAAGCTACCTAGCAACACCTTAGGTAGTGTTCACAAAAAAAAGCAACACCTTAGGTAGCGTTTGTGTCAGGTATCAGTA